GTCCGCCCCGAAGACGTACTCGATCTGCCCGTTGACCCCCACGTCCAGGTCGGTGGCTCGAAGCTGCAAAATGGGGGTGCCGGGGCTGCTGTTCTCCGCCAGGTCGGCCTCGTAGACGCTCTTCTCGAAGCGGGGGCTGTTGTCGTTGACGTCGGTGATGAGGACCCTCAGGATGGCCTGCGAGGAGCGGGCCGGGTCGCCGCCATCCCTCACGCGGAGGCTGAGCTCGTAGGAATCCCGCTGCTCCCGGTCCAGGGCTCCTTTGACGATCAACTGGGGCTGCTTCTCCCCGTCGAGGGTGTCGGCCACCTGCAGCTCGAAGACGCTGCTCCGGGCCGCAGAGTCCGCCGCCTCCTGCCGCCTCTTGCTGCCGCCGGGGTAGATGGCGCTCTCGGAGGCCGCCGAGGCCGAGCCTCCCCCCCCGACGCCGCCGCCGCCGCCGCCTCCTCCTCCTCCCCCAGCGCGGCGGCCGCCGTCCCCGCCGGGCTCCTGCAGCAGCTCGTAGCGCTCGATGCCGTTGCGGCCGAAGTCCCTGTCGGTGGCGGTGGGGAGGAGGTAGAGGGTCCCCACGGGCCGGTTCTCCTCCACCGTCAAGGTAAGGACGGGGGAAGGGAAAGTGGGGGTGTTGTCGTTGATGTCCAAGATGATGACCCGGCCTTCGAAAAGGTCCACCCAGCTCTGCGAGGGGCCGATGACCGACACCTCGAAGTCCAAGAAGCACTCGTTCTCGTCGAAGATCATCTGGCACTGCGGCAGCTTCTCGCGGTCGATGCGCCGCTCCGTGGTGCTCAGCTCCCCGGTCATGTTATCGATTTTGAGATAGTCCGAGCCCGATTCCAGGCTGAATGTCACCTCTCCCGAGCCCGTCACGATGCCCAAATCGGAAGCCACGTTACCGATGCGGATGTCGGCGGGTCCTTCCTCGGCCAAGCGGTACCTCAGGAGCTGCTTGGCCGCTGCCAGCCTGACCCAGAGCGGCGGAGGCAGGAGGAGCAAGAAACAGCAGCAGCAGCAATGCACAAAGCCAAGGAGAGTCCGCATCTTCCTCAT